TAGAGATATGATCATAATATGGTGCCCTTTGGAATATGTTTTTTAAGAAAAGCTGAGGACACTCAACATAAAGAAGAAGCTTACATCAGTTCTTCCCTAGCAAGAGTGTAAATAGTGCGATTTCCTGTGCATTTAAATTCTACAGTATTGCTGACACCAACAAGACATTAGCAGCAAGCTGGCTTGCTGAAAAAAACTGGTTAGACAGAAAGCAGGTGAACCGACAGCAGGATCTGTGGCTCAGGTGTGCAAAACAAATGAAAATACAAGGAAGTCCTGTACAAACTGCTTTGAAATATCATGAGGGGCTGCACAGCTCAATACTGGAGTTAGCGTTCTCGGGCACAAGCTTGTGTGCTGCACACATGATTATTTCACACAAAAACAGAGAGCAGAGTGGTAAAGCATAGTAAAAATACATTTCATTTATATTAAGTTTTAATTGTAATACTTTAAATTGGTTCAAAATCAGATTTAAATGTAACTCAGATGAACAGTGGTATAGACAATGTTATAGCACTGTTCTGGACACTCCACTCAAATGCTTTATCTTTACAGTTAATGTGTCTCCCGTCCACCACCACAAATGTGTAGCACCATCTGAGTGATGCAATGGCACCTAATGTGTGCCAGTACACTCACTACGCAACAGCTATCAGTGGGGTGGACAAAGTGACTAAGCCGATTATTTGGATTATTTATTGATTTAATTGGTGAGGGGTGGGGGAATTTGGCCAGGACGCTGTAGTTACACTCTTTTTGAGAAATGCCTTTAGATTTTTAATGACCACGGAGAGTCTGGACTTCAGTTTTTTGGCTCATCCGAAAGATGGTGCCTTTTTCATAGTATAGTGTCCCACATCACTATACTGGGGTGTTAGGACCCACACAGACTGTCAGGTGAGTGCCCCCTACTGGTCCCTCTAACACATCTTTCAGCAGCAACCTTATCTTTCCCAGGAGGTCTCCCATCCATTGCTGCTGAGCTTCAGGGGGTTGCCAGTTGTGAGTTGTGGTTGTTCTATACATTTGTGTTTTAGAAAATGTAAGTAAACAGACTAAATCTTTCTGGTACTGTATCATTTTGATAATTCATTCATGACAGACCATGATATAGTGGGGAGCTTTCCACTGTTATGAAAGATAAGTTGTAAAAATCACCAAAGAGAGGGAGGCGACTGGGCACAGGTGATGAGGTTATTCAACCTGCTCAATGTCAAGCCTGGTGAAAATCTACATTACAATCTATGCGATCAGTATGTGGCTGGGTGGGCTAAGTCACCATACTGTTGTTCGCTGTTGAGTGAGTTCACAGCCAGCATTTTCCAGCCTGACAAGACACTATGACCAAACATAGCCCATCAAAGACACCGTGACACGTGTGACACGTCACCCTGTCCAGTCTTCATGATCCTCTTTGCAGGGCCATTTCCACTGCATCAGAGCTCCAGACAGCCACACAGAAGCCAGTGCTCACCCATGTTCACTAACACAACTGAGCGAGGTGGAGTGAACAGCACCTCATCACAGGAGGACCGCCAGCTGTGCAGCCAAGCTCTTTTTTGTATTGAATCCAGGTTCCATTAGACCACACTAATGAACGTTAGCCAGTGTTGCACAGGCGTGCAGATCAATACGGCAAACCAGTCTAACTGTAATGGTCTGGGTGGGAGTGCCTAGATACTACTGAACTCCAGTGACACTGACTGAAGGCAACCTCACCGTACTGTGTTACACTGTTAAAGTCCCAGGGACTCCCCTGCTGGTCCTCTCTGCAGATTTAAACTGACATGAAGCAATCCAGTAGGATAATACCATCCTCAAGCCTGTCATGTATTGTAACAGACAGCTTTCATGCAAGATAAGAATGAGACCACAATGCTACTGTATGGCTTCCTTGTTTGCCAGAATTCACTTCCTTTAAACAATCGATGGAATGGGCTAGGACAACCTGTATGCTACAGGAGGAGCTACCTGGAACTCAGGGACAAATGAACAGAAGGAAGTTTGGGACACAATCTAGAAGACAGCATCTGCAACCTTGTGCAAAGCATGCAATGCAAATGTGCAGCCTAAGACCTTCAAAGTAGACCCCTGATTAATCAACATTGTTGATGACACATAAGCATAACAAACGTATCCACAGAATGTCCCAGCTGTTCAGTAAAAACGCCAGTAGAGCTACATCATGGGGACTTTTTTGCAGTTGTTTGAAGTTTTTTTAGGCTCCGTGTCGAATGATTACTTGAAGGTATAGGCTGGTATTGGCTGGATACAGACTATTCAATAATTCTGCTGTCACTGCCATTAGGGTATGCTTGCAGCTATTTCACACAATCATAGGATGTTTAAAAATAAGACCCCAAGAGAAAGTGTACAAAAACACAAAATATCATTTGCATTTATTTCTTGTGAATATAAAATATCTGTTTGTGTTAGGTGGCACTGCTCTACACATTCAAATGTAATGATCCCAAATAAGGGACAGATCAATGGGTTGTGGGTTAAAAAGATTAAACTGAGAATAGAGGAGGGAGTCCAGAAAATAAAATAATACAAATTCCTCAGTGCAACCAAGTTAAGATGTTAGGGATGAGGGAACAATGCATTTTTACAAAAAGGCACAGTCACTCCAGCTGGTAAGTGATAAGGGAACTCTGGCTTCAAGCAGTCCAGACATGTATGAATCAATACACAAAACAGTAAGCGTTTCATGCTTGTGGATAAAACCACATGGGCCAGAACCCCACTCAAGCACACAGTAGGGTTGAAATTTGTTTGTGCTTGCTCTGCTACAGACAAAATGACAGGAATACTGTGCTTTTCCAGTAACTACCACTTCAGCTTCTCTAATCCCCCTATGAAACATATCTGTGCAACTTTCTTTGTACAAGATTTTACAGCATATCAGTGCATAGAGTCACTCTTTTATTATTGCGGAGTATACTGCAACAATGTCAATAATTGTATTTTTTAAACATTCTAAATTCTAAACTCTTACTCTGAGCAGTTACAACAGTTCCGCCTCTGCCCACAATAAACGGATTTGTCACAATAATTAATGAATGATGTGGGCAGGCAGGTCAGGGGAGCCTGGATGAATTTGGTTCAATCTCACTGTGTGGGTCTACAGAAAGCGACGTGACCCTGGATGTAAAGACTCAATGAATGATTTCAAATTCAGGAGGGTCCATGACATGTGACTGGCAGTTCTGAAAAATAAAGTAGGTTCAAGTGCCTGGAACTAAAACATAAGTCACTGTTCAATAATACTATTAAAAATTAAACAGCCAAATCCTGGATAATAATTGAATGGTCAGGCACACCACACTGATCATATCTAGAATGCAATAAAGAATGACATCTCAAAAAATCCTTCCCAGAGTGCCCCACCTGTACAGAAAGGGACCTCCTTCAATGGCCACCTGGGGAAAGTGTGTCAGCAGACAGTCCACTTGGGTTAACACTCCTTCTTTTTCAAAAGGGATCTTTAATGATCAAGAAGTCGGAACCTCTAGTTAACTTCTCTTCCAAAGGACGCATAAACAGATCATTGCAACTTAAATATTTTATGGAACATGAATGTAATAGGATTCAAAGCTAAATTAAATCAATGTAGCTTTGAATACAGTTCCTTTTCTTTAATTAGCAATGACAGGTGAAAAATACCACACCATATGGATATAATTGTCAATTTGAAACAATTATTTTAATCGGGTGATACAGGAGAACAAGCAGAAGTATAAAGGAAATGAAAATACAGCTCGGTTTACCTTTAATCAGACAAGGCACCAGAAACAGATGGGAGATGCTGCAGTTTACTGGCTTAGTGCCACAGGAACAAAAGGGACAGAAAAAGGTTCTGACTTCTGTTTCAGAAGCAAGTGCATCTGCATTACTTGATCCAAATTTGTCAAGATATTGCTGCTCAAACATCTCCTGCTGGGTAATCCACACTCTTCAGTTAGCTTTACCGTACTCTTTGTTATCTTAAAGTTTAGATTCAACCGCATACCTATCAAACACATCAAAAAAACTTTTAGGAGTGACACATCTGAGGAAATGATTTAGCATGTGTTACTTACCTTAGTATAAAACTATTTTTAAATGTTGTTCACAGTGATCTGTGATTAAAAGCACTGACTACAAAAAGAAACCAGCAAAAATGTAGGTGCAATACTTGCAAGATATTTTGTTATTTTGATAAATCTATTACATAACACTCTGACTTTAATGATAAATTACAGTAAACAATCGTTTCAATCTGACCTTTCTTTATATGTCTACTGTGCAGCTGGTGGGGGGTCATTAAGCAGTGTTCCTATAATAGATAGCTGTAGCATAATTCTTAAAAAAATACTCATATTATTTTTCTGCAAAAAGCTGAATACATTTATATACAACAAAATGTTGAAGGAATAATAAATAAACTATTAAAGGCACATAAACTTCTGCCTTACCAGACTGTTGTTTCAGCACACTCTTGAGCTCTATTTATTTATAAAATGTGGAAGTTTACTAATACTAATGCCACAGAAAGTGAAGCCTCACACACACTTTGGCAGCAATGAAAAAAATTAAGAAGTTGTATTTACAGGTACAGTATATATATGGTACAGTACAACAGGTGATGTACTGTGCTGGCAATGAGGAAAATATATCATACAGTAGGATGCCTATTTCAATTCTTAAGTATGAAAATCTTTAAACAACACTAATAGGTATTGTGATCAGCTTACTTTTACACTGTTTTTTGACTTAAAAACAAGTGACAACCTAGCTTCAACCTAACCCATTGGTTACATCATCAAGCTTTTATATTTTCTTTTCTGGTGAATATCTTTTTCAATCTCACACATGAGGAGACATCCAACTTGATTAACACATTCTGTTACTTTTTCCAATTAACAGTCCCCGCAGCACAGGCCAATTTTTTTGTAGATGCCACTCAGGCAAGGAAAACCCGGAGCAGAAAAAAAAACGTATTTTCTAGACAGATGTGTAATGTGAAATCCTAGATTCACAAGGTTTAATACCGAACTCATTACAAAAGTTATACCAGGAGCTGCTATGCTTTCAGGGTTTCTGCCTGTAGTGAAAGGACATGTCACGGACACAAGGACAAATGATACAGTAAATGCAGAAAATGTAAACGTTATCAACTTTAACCTTAAGAAACATTAACATGTAATGAATACCACACAAGGATGAATTAAAACTGAAGCTATATGAAAACAGTTCCATTCTTTACACATCTTACCAGAATATGTTATATATCCAGAATATTATAATTTGATATTATATTAATTTCAGATCACCAAAGTGTAAAAAAAAAAACTAGACAGGAATACCTAGTCTTTTTTTGTAATAAAATCACTGTATCCCATCCAAATGCTTTTAAGCCAATCCCCCAGTGCTACCATGCACAGTGGGGGAAGGCCACTAGGATTTACAGAGTGCCCATGCCACCTTGTCTCCTGCTAGCTGAACATCAGCCAGGGCCTCTGTGAGCTGTCGATAGAGGTGTACTTCTACCTCCGAGTTTAAACTGAAGTGGCTCAGCTTCCTGTCTCTTTCAAACTCCTCTCTGTACTGCTGAAGCTGTCCGGCCAAACCTGGGGAGGGTTGGCAAAGGGGCAGAGCTGATGCAAGTTGCTTTTCACTCGTGGGGTTAGTGATCAGCGAGGAAATCCAGTTCCTAACGGTCCACACCTCTTCCTCTAAGGATGATGCTAAGCTTTCAGCCAGGTCTTCTGCGTGTCCCGCTTTCAGCTGCTTTACCTCACAGGATGATGGCAGAAAGGTACACAGTGAATTTAAAAACCTCAGTAAGCTGGTCTGGCAACTGGAAACACAAAACACAACATGAAATCCTTAGGTTCAATGTCATTAAACAACAAACATGTTTCATCTGTACAACTATAAATATGACAGGCATTATTCCAGATGTTGGCAGAACATTCTGCTGTATGACTTTCAGTTCGTTATCATGTGCATCCAACTGAGAGCATAAAGATTAAAGAAGCAACAATGTTTCTAGAAGGTGGTCAGAACCTGCCAACATTAACATCACAGGACTAAGCTTTCCATATGCAACAGTCACATGCATTTTAAATGGGTCTGTTTCTTTGTGTGGAAGTGCTTCATTTCATTATGAGCATGGATGCACAATTTATGATGAATTTACCTGCAATGGATTAGCAAAATTCCCTCAAAGGCTGTTTTCTCTTGCCAACTGATTAACATCATATTGGAAGTGTCCACATTATTCAGTAGTAGATAGTCTGGGTTAACATAAAGTCTTTGGCACTGCATTGGTCCCAAGAGCCATTTTGAAATATCACAAAGAGTATAGCTTGGAGATCTTATCTGGAATAACCACTTTTTTAATACCATTGTAAGGCTGAGAAAATCTTCCACAGCTTCCTCTAGAAAAGAAAATCCACAAAAAAGAGTTAACAGGTATTTCGATGGGAAAAAACTTAATATTATAAAAACCCAGTGCTACTAGCATATGTAAAGATGACTCTACAGCTGATGAAAGTCTGAATAAGATTTCATAGTCACTGGTTCATTTTTTATGGACTGTTATGGAGTTATGGACTAGTATCAACTAGACATCTACAACTATCACTTTATCTTCAATAACAACATAAGAGCCAACGGAAATACTGTGTGAAAGAAGGCATATGCCTGATAAGCCTGAAGAGACCTTAGAAAGGGGTTTTGATTAAAAAAGCAATAAAAAACAATACCATAAACATTTTTTTGAATGCAGGAAACAGTCCCAGTTTGTACAAGATGTTTAATTGGCTACAAATCATTAAAATTCCAGTAGAACACCACATGTTTTGAGTTCTGGAAGACAAATGATTTTTTGTAGTTTCTAAATCTGTAGACCTGGATATTTATTACCGCACAAAATAGAGGCGTGGTGTGTAGAATGTATAGAATATTGCAAGGCCACTGGATTTCCAACTTTCCCCTGCCTCTCACTTTAACTTGAAAACAGGGGAAGAAGGAGCCCATTTTACCTGTAGCACATTTGCTGTTCAACGATTTCGGGAAGAGTTTTCCAGCAGAAATGTCCTTGATGTCCAGAGAAACTCTACCACACTGCACAATCACTGGCTGCCCTCCCCCCCTGATGCCTGGATTCTGTGCAGCTGTGGCATGAAGCATTAAATGGCAGTCTAGGTGTACAAAGGCCACAAGCGGCGCCAGCTCAGTGGCGGCGATCACGGTGCGTGCCCGATTCTTGGCAATTTCCGCACGCCCCCCCGCCACCGTGCCAAACTGCCCCACACTCTGCAGCCTGGGCCCCAGCCTAGTCTTTTTTGCTGCGGGCTCGGCCCGACACTGGGAGGACGGGCAGGGGAAGGGGAGTTTGCCGAGCTGCAGCACACTGCTGCGTGTCTGGATTACTGTAGGGGCCTTTCTGAAGCCCTGCTCCATCAGCACCGATAAACTCACTTCGCCCACTGATCTGGAAGACAAAGGCACCGCTTGCCGTTAAAAAAAAAAACACAAGTGTTTTGTTTCACTAGGATTACTTCACGTTTCTAAAAGAAAACAAATGTTAAAACTGCACACAGTACCGTACTGTTCGAATTTCATGGTAACAGGAACATCTGCTAAAAGTCTAGTAAAAAAATTGACAATTGATTTTCTGAACAAATGAACCTTATTTGAGGTTCCCTAAATTATAACTTGAATAGCCCAAGCCTTTTTGTAGTACTTGCAGGTCTGGCCTCATCAGAATGCTCCTGCTATGCCTGATGTTACCTCAACGGTTAACCAAGGACAGAATGACACCAAGGTGTTTGTTTTATCACCGGCAAGACTTGTTATATATGCTTGAAAAAAGACTCAGAGAGCTATTAAAATGTGTCTGTTGCCATAGTGATCGAGGCAGACATTGTGTGCAAGTTGCTGGGACCCATAAAAATTACAGCTGAATTTCTTTCAGTGCCTCAACTACTTAGTTCACCAACACAGATGTTTCACTGCAGCTGAAGAGCAGAAATAGAACTCTTTAGAGTCAGGTCATGACAGCTACTCAGGATTAAAAATAAAGTGAAAAAAAAAAATGACTGCGTCCTTCGTTTCACCCGTGTTTGTTTGCTTAATTTAAAGTAGATTAAAACAGGGACTCCAAACTGACTCGTTCTGTAACTGTGCTCATATGGAAAAAAGCTCTAAGGTCAACATTTTGCATCTGGGCTATAACCAGGGGTTGGATTGGCTGCAAAGAGCCTTGGCTGCTGCCATGCAACTGTAACCTCAGTGCCTATGCTCTCGCCAAGCAAGGCTATTTCTAGCAGGCCATGGGGAGCTCTGACATTGCACAGTTCTGGAGAGGAGAAGGTGTAGTTCACATCCCTCCCCGAGACAGCACACACCAAATTGGGGGATCTAAAAGGGCACAATGGCTGGCAATTCCAAACGTATGAAAAAATAAATCAATCTGAATACACTGATGTGACAAAAGTGTCACATGGATAATGGAACCCAATGCAAAAGTCTGCGTAGAGAAAATAAAAGCCAGTAACCTTTTGCTACCAGGAAAAGTATCAAGCGAAAAAGAAACAAATATACAAAAATGGACATGGCAGACTAATGTACAAATGGTCAAGTGCTATTTGGGAAGAACTCACATCCATGATAGTTCAGATCTGCATGCATATCAAGACTGGAGGAAAATCTAAATGCACACCATGTGTGGAAAAGAGCTCAGTACACAGATGATACAAAGGATGTGATATGTGACCTGCTTTTAAACTGCTGACGTGGGTTATCTAATCATTATTTTGATATTCCTTTCATCTCACATTGCAATTCAGCAACATGTTTTCATAATTTTGTCTCCAAAAATTCCTGTCACAACTGGTGAAAAAGGTTTGCATTCTTGATGTGCTATGACGTAACACAGTGATAAGTTTTTGTAAGTGGAGTTATATCTAATGTTTGGTTTAAAGAAATTTAAGATCTAGTGTTACACTATTTTTACTAAAAAAAAAAAACATAAGTATTTGAGATTTGTTGCACCTGAATAATAGCACAGACTAGTACGACGCTTTGCAAGGGAATCGTTCCTGTACTAAACAGGAAAACCTGCTCTGCCTGGAGCAAACAGGATCAGTGTGCACCAACTCCTGTGTCCTGTGACCTATCCTGAACTAGCAGTGCATGGCCTGGCACCTGCAGATCAGTGTGAGGGGCTGATAAAGAGATTAAGTCTCTTGAGCCATCAGCTGCCAGCCAAAGCAAACCAGGCCACACACAATGCCCTGCTGATAACAATGGCAATGGACAGAGTGGTAAATTTAGCAAAAAACCATCTCAAACCAATGGCAAATATAAATGTACACCCTCAGATACACGCATCGGTTATTTATCTAAAAAAACAGGCCAGTCTATGTAGCCAGTTTTAACCCTAGCGTTCCTCTCCACCACCATACGCCAGTCTGGAAAGCAGATACTCACAGAGAGGCCTCCTCTGCCAGCCTCACGCCCACGACCCAGCTGTCGCCAACAACACGCTGCCAGACCTTCTCTGCCAGACCGCGGAGGCCCACATGCGCCACTGGAGCCTCCTCACCTGGGCTGTCCACAGCGGTGTCTTCTTCCCACAGGGACACTAGGCCCTCCTGAAATAGAACTGGCCTTTTAGCTGTGAAAGGGTTCATGAGCCCAGCCTCCTCTGTGCGGGGCCAGAACTTGTAGGCCATTTCATCACAAGCAGCAATTTCAGTCAAGGTATATAACCAACCGCTGGTGACAAGGATCGCTTATTCCCTAAACGCATACCACACATTTTAGATGTAATATCTACCTGTACAGCACTCCCTCACGGTGATGGGGCCCAGGGTTTAATTGTTTGGGTGCTATCTGTGTGGAGCTTGTATGTTTTCTCCATGTTTGGGTGGGTTTCCTCCTGGTGCACTGGTTTCCTCACACAGTCCAAAGACATACCGGTAGGTTAATGGGCTTCTGGGAAAGTTGGTCATGATATATGTGTGTGCGTGCTTGTGTTGGCTAGTGTCATGTGATGTAAAAGTAATCTAAAATTTCTCTCTTTTTTGTTCTCCAGATGGAAACACTATGTGAAAATAAAACCACTAATGAGAACAACAAATACTTTGACACTTATTGTCTATTTCAGGTTTCGTTGACTAATCTGATACTCCTTGTACCTGTAAGTCAGCCTTCTTATTGCAATTCAACTAAGCAATTCTTCACACATTCACTTTTGCTTTTTTATGTTGATACCAATATTGGTTTTAAGCAGGGAATGTATCTGTCTAGCATCAACCTATATAATCCCACATTGTAACCAAAAACATTGTTACCTATAAACTACACAAATCCTGAACATTAACATCTAGTCAGACTATAAGCATGAGAAGCCTCTGTTACTAGAGAAAAAAACAAGATGAACAGCAAAAACTGTCTCAAATAAAACATGCTCACATAAAACCTAAAGGCAATAGAAAGAGGATCTTTAAGCACAGCAGGGAAAAAAAAAACATTCACAACACAAACACTCTTGCTATTTGCATCTTTAAAGCAACGGTCAACATTGCTTCTGGTTCAAAACTGTTGTTTCAGATATTTTAGCTTTTAAAGATGCCTTTGTCTTATTATCTGCCATGCTCTTGCCTTTTCTCTGTCGAGCTGGCCTCCTCGTTCCTTAAACAACGACCTTCTTGTGTTTACTCATATGGAGATACATTCACACACCAGTAGAGGGCATAGTATAGGAGATGGGACACTGACATTATGCAAGTGTTCACATTCAAAGTATCATTTATACATCATACTGTATACAGAAAAGATCACATAATATCAGAGATAGGTTCTTTTTACTTGTAGAATAATTATACTGACTATGATCCACTGTATATTTTCACAGCAATTTAGATATGAAGAGCAACATCACACCAGTCATAAAAATATTTAACAATTATATGTAATTCATGTATAAAAGTTAAGAAGCAACAATTTAGACATGAATGATACAATGCCACTACATATTTTAAAAGTTTTTCTGTATCAGTTAAACCAGGCTAAAGTGAATTCTACGTGAAGTTATCCCCAAAACAGCACTGATTAGATTTGAGTAAAATTTCTAATAGCTAAAGTATTCCACGGTAGAGCAATCGATTTTGTTAATACTGTTCAGCATTAATAGTCAAACTGACCATTTTTCTGTAGGACAGAAGAAGACGAAGGTAATTCAATCTCTTTCAGGCTTGTCCAAGGAAACCGTAATAAGATAAAAAAAACAATGTAGACTAAAGGGAAGCTCCCAGAAGAAAGATTTAATGTTTCTGATATTTTGTACAAAGGAGCTGCTCTATGCGGCAGTCTTAATATCTACTTAGACATTGTAACATACAATCAGAAGACGCCACCAGTCCATTATAAAGTACACACTCACACACACTCACACACATGCAATACAGGATGCAATTTACAGACACCAAATAACGTATTTTGGGACTGTGGGAGGAAACTGAAGCACCCAGAGAAAAAACAAAAGAACTTGGAAAGAACCTCCAAGTTCCACACAGAGAGAGCCAAACTGAGACCATGGATCCTAGAGCTGTGAAGAAGTTCCAGCTGCAGATTGCATATCAGCCAAATCACTTCACAAGGCATTATAAATTCATGAAATATGCAATAGGCAGAGTTACAGATATGACAAATGCATAATGTAACCAAAATCTTGACAATCTGGCAATTTTGAAATGGTACTTTGTTCTTTACGCATTACGGGAATGTTATATTTAACAATATGTTAAATGTACCTCTTCTCCCTTTGACAGGATGTTCTCCTCTCCTTTGATGAGGCCTGTAAATGCTTGGACAGACTGCAACAGAACTCGGTCCTTCAGATCCAAATCAAGCTGAATATTCTGGACTGAGGACAAACCACACTGACAGTGAAGTGAAGAAAACAATGTTTATGTTAGAGATGGTGTATTAGGTTGCATCATTTACAATGATGTTTTAAATCACATGCTTTTTACAGATACTTCCAAAGATAAACATTGGAATTTTATTTTCCAATTTAGTTTTCATGCTAAGAATTTAAGGCCAGAACCTGCCATTTCCTTAAACATTCTTTGCTAGGTGATAGTGAAAATCAGTGAAAGCTATTAAATAGTGATGTATTAGAAGCACAGAGGGGTTCTTGCCATTATCATTTTTGATCTGTCCTAGAGTGGATTTATTTTATTTATGCCCCAATTCTAGTTGACATCCAAGTATTTGAATTTAAATATCACACACAGAACAGAAAAAAAAGTATATTAATAATGTGAATCATAAAAGCCATGCGCAATAAACAGACCCTTTAACCTTGTTAGTTTAATAATTACATCGAGAAAAGTCTACAATTTAAAATGCATCAAAACATTTTACGAGATCCATAAGGACATATCATGTGCGTTTTCACTTTTAGTCACCACAATAAAAAAAAATGCCAAGATGTTGTAATGCAAAAAATTGAACCAGCCCTGAGAAGAATAACCAAAAACTTTTGTGAGCTCAGATCTGACAAGATATCAGAACTGCTTGAATTTCAAACAGGGTAGACCAAGAAGGAACCTGATTCAGGAACTCCAAATCCTCAAAGGCATTTTTCAAAGACAGCTCAATATACTCCTTCAGAACCAGAGGCTGCAAATAGGAACTAAGAGAACGCGCGTTTAAAACTGAGAACACGAGGTATGTTTTTCACACAGCGCTGCAGGAGTTTGGGATAAGCTACCCAGTCATGCTGCCGAAACTCATACCCTGGCTTTTTTCAAGAAACAAGTAAATTATCTACTCAAGAACAAAAAAAAGAAAGAGGGACAGATCCTCTTGTTTAAAACATCCTTATATTCTGATGTAGCAGATACAAACTTACATGTGACAAGGTCTGATGCAAAAACTCACTGAGAATAATGATACACTGTAGTTACACCCTGGGCGTGAAATTTCTGCGAAATAACATGACTATGCTAAATTTGGACTGTGCTTATTTAGTACATCAGGGCTCTTACAAATACGTACGTACAAATTCAATTCCATACCCTGACCAAGAATTTATAAATGTATGCATACTTTCCTTTTCTACAGTGTAAACACTTCATACCTGTAGTCTGGTTTCCAGTGCTTGCACAAAAATATGATAATTTTCCTGAACAGCCCCGTCTGCATTCAGATCTTCACAAGTGTCGACACTACTCTGAAGACAGAAAATAATTACTTTTTAAAACAATCATTTTCGCCCCAACATTTCCTAACACCTGATCCTTAAGAACCGCTGTCCCACAGAATGGCCATTCGACCAGTGGCCTGAACAGGCTTGGACGTTAGGAACGTGCCATGATCACATTAAACCTAAAGAGGACAAAACTAAAAAAAAAATGCCAAACAAAATTAAATCATAGTCACAGATGAGACTTGAAATTGTATAATCATGTTGAGCTTGACTAAGACCTGCCTGTATTGGGGTGCACAACACAAACTCCCGCCCAGAGAGGGGTGTCGGTAACAGAGGACGGAAGTGTAAATCAGGTACAGTGAGTGCAAGGCAGACTGGAGAGGGTCAAGCAGCAAGCACTGCAGCAGGAGAGCAGAGAGCTGGTAGTCCAGCAGTCAAGGGTTTTCTATGGGAAGCGAAGAAAGAGCCAGGATAGTCTTTTTGAAAGGACTCGGTTCAGGCCTGCCTTTTTAAAGAAAGCTTTAATGTACTCCTGTGTAAGGGGGAAGGAGTTGTAATTGTTTGATTCTCTTTGCTGTGGCCTGTTATGAGTGGCCCCATGATTGGGTTGCTCCGATTACTTTCTGATGTTGTTTATGCGGCGATGGGGATTTTAATGCCAGAGCTGACATAGTGCCACAGAGAACCTGTGTTTTTGGAACTGTTCCTGAATGGCATCTCTTTTATACTTGAGAACTTGAGTCAGTAAGGTGTAGTGGATGGGTGTTGAGAGATATTATTGAACTTTATTTTTCTTCAGCTTGGTCGGAATAAATATGTCTCTTCTGGCTCAGCTTCTCCATATGTCTGCTTTTTTTTTAAATTGTTCTTCTCATTGTACTGTTTTTATTGGTGCTGTGTATGGGGAATACTGAAGTCGTGTTTTTGTCTGCTGAGTTTTTCTGCTCTTTTGACTGCCATTGCTGGGACTTTTGTATGATAATAAAATTAGGTTTAACTTTTGTGGACACAGTCTTGAATTATTTATTGCTCGGGTTGTATTTGGTGTGGCTGGCCTTAGAAGAAACTTATCAGGGGTGACTTAGAAGTCACTTAGAAGTGGGTGGGAGAAGTGGGAGAGTGGTTGTTTCACCATACCTTATTTATAAGGGTATTTCTATCACGTGTGATTTTACCGTTCTTGGAAAGTAATTGTATGGCTATCCACCTAACGTGGCTGGAGCTGTCTTAGTTGCCTTTTTTCCAATCAAATACAACAAATGTTATATTAACCAATGTCATTGTCTTGCCTATGAATTAAGATTGACCTGGCAACCTACTGTAAAAGGACCTTATTAAACTAAAAAGGTCCCTGGCCTTTATGGAGGGTGGTGTAGTTGGACTATATTAAGTAGGTTTAATAATTTAAGGGGGGGGGGGGGGTGAGTTAAATAAAAGCAGAATGATTAAATGATTTATTTTTTACACCTGTTAAAAAAGCAGATGGAAAACAGCCAAACAGCATGGAAGACAACCAGGGAAGGATATTGAACGCACAGCAGAAAGGAGGGGGTCCTAAGTGCAAGTGGCAGGTTTATGGCTCTGGAAAGAAAAGGTCAGAGTCTGAGTGGGGTATTAAGGAGGAGAAAGAGGGAGAGTCGGTGGAGGAAGAAATTGGAGATGAGTAACGCATAGGCAGGGCGCTGCCATAAAAAAAGTTACTGTTTGATCTGTTCAAAAAATGTCCTTACCGTGTAGGCAATTGCACCAAGATCTGTGAGTCTGAAGTCCCTCAGAACATCATCAGCTGTGGTGTGGTTCTCAAAAACCAATAAGATCTGGTCATTCCCACAACCAACAAAGTCATCAACATGGAGAGCACCGACTCCCTCCCACCTAGAAGCAACCTGAAGCAAAGAAAAATACCAATAAACAGATTGCTAGGCAAACTCACACACTGCACAGACAGTATATAATACATGTAGGCTTTGTAAAAGGAAGTTCTATAATCAATCTCTCTAAAGCCTTAATTAAAAAAAAACTGTGCAGAACTAAAACCAACCCTATTATACAATAAGTACAGCTACTGTACATCAATGAATAACACACAGTATTTAAAAAATAATAATTTAGAGGCATTATAATGTTACAGAATATTTATAATTAGTCATTGAATACCATGCCTGCGAAACTTAATATTCTACATTGATTAAAGGTTTTCAAAGACTTTAAGATAAACTAAATTCAGTACGTTTTCCTGTCATGCTTTATCTTTTCTTAATATCCAATTACTTGAGTCACATAACTATTTTACAATACCAGAAAAATAAGAAAATGTTATTTCTAAGTAGCCTATTTTCATAAAAATCTAACATCATAGACCTCTGGGTGTACATGATTAATTTACGGCATATTACTTTCTACTCTTTACAGTGCACTGCAATGATACATCTCTTAAGGTTCAAAGATGTTTGTCTTCTGCAAAGATACAGCATTAAACTATATAAAACCATCCACACATTATATGACCTACGTTCTCTCATGACTTGCAGAAGAAATGCATTTTTAACTGTTACTCTATATCGCGATACTGCTGTTACACAGTCCTTTTAAACTGAACTACCTTAATAGGTGGGGTAGTTATCCGTAAAACCATCCACTGTATCATTAAACATCCCCTACAAAATTCTACCTAATTTAATGCTCCTAATTTAAACAGTTTTGCTATCAACTGCAAATTTGATTTATACACTAGGTGTGCATATGAAGTACACACAGAAAAAATATTCCCTTTTGAATTTTGAATAAAATAGCAAAAAATATTCAGTCCTAAATGAAACGCAGCTTGTGGAAAGTGACTGAAATGTTACACAGGAAGGAAATGGCAGCAGGTTTTGTTTAATAAAAGGAAATTCATTCTCTACAGCTTCATCACTGTCAATGTACCTCCTAATTTGGACCACTAGACACTAAGTTACTTGGTTATAACTTTAATCAAATGGACTGACATTTAAAAAAAAAATCCCAAAGAGAATACCTGAAAACCTTCTTTCCATACAGCACATACATTTCCAAAGCGGAAAGTTACAACAAGCAGGCAGCTGTCTCTGCCCGTTGTGACTGTCTGAATGTTCTGGGCTTGTTCAAACGGCAGCTGGCAGACCTCTCTGGGAACTCCATCCTCAAACCATACCAGCTGATTTTTACTCGTTGCTGCGACCACACACGTCTTCATTTCCCCATTTACTTCTTCAGCAGTGACGATAAGCAAACATGTGACTACAGAACTGTACTCATGAGGTAGCAGCCAAGCTCCATCGAAACTTCTTCCAGCTCCGAGGAGATAACCAAGGAACATCACCGGCTGTTCTGCAGCCCGTGTTTGGGTACCTAGTATAATGATGTCTTGGATTCCCACGGCCACTTCTCCAATAAAGCACACTGATGAAAACAGAACAGGGACCGGCGTTACTTTGCCAGCCTGTAAAGATGTCCAATAAACTGTCTCCTCGTGACTCCACAAGACAGTAGGACCCTGCAACAGTGCTACATTTTCTCTCATTTCATACTGCAATTTAAACTTCATCTGGGGCTCCAAAGAACTGGCAGTGTTTAATGTGAACAGGGTATACTGGAAACATGCCTTTTTTCTTTTGTTCTGTTTGAGCAAAACACAAGGCACCACCAGGCCACTTTTTACATCTAAAGCAGAGCTGCAGCAGAGAATGTCAACGTTTTTGCCGTCATTGCTGACGAGTGCCGACCCTTCGGATGTCACGGAGAAACGCCCCGTGCTTTGCCGGAACGCCGTCCTTCGGAACCGCAGTTCCGATCCCGAGACCTGGAAGGTCAGAACCTCGCCATTGAAGGCAAGGAGTTTCACTGGCAGCCCGGTGGAGTCCATGACGCTTGAAATGTTAACGGCAGCCTTGGAGCATCAGTGTCGCTTCCATTTCACTCCACGTACCACCTGACAGAAAAAGAGCAGCTTTACATCAAATTGCATGCTTCCACGCAGCCTGTAAATCATAGCGTGTATCAGCTGTAGGCTATCGCAAAAGAAAAGTAACCCACACTTGGTATACGGTTGTAAAGTTGAATACAACTATATATACACATCATATAAAGTAACTTGAAAATAAGAAACAGATATTACTGTACTACCATAACGGCACCGGCTCCACTGTATCTGCAGGACATCATAGAAAGTTTTAACGTCTGATTCCCACATGCATTTGACACAGTGCATAATTCACATTACTCCCAAAACAGCGAAAGCAGAAAGCGTGTTTCTTTATAATATTTCTAATAGTAATTAAGTTGGGATTAATCTTACTTTCAGGGTCAGTTACCTTTTAACATTCGTCATAGTGTAGCAGCTGTGTCTAGTTTGCATAACCAGGCACAGAAACCTACGATCCCCAGGTTTGCAACTTCAACCACAAACTACCCGCGGAAAAAGAAGCTGCATCATGGGTATTTCATTATACGCGATACTGTATGTACAAACGTCATCATTAAAGAAAATGCAAGTTATATTATGTGTTGACCATTAACGAAACAAACATATATATATATGTGTGTGTATCATTTTTCAGAGAAGGTAGTTCTGATTAGTTTTTTTTTCTGACAATAATTTATTACTGATCATACAGCTACATCACGTGATTTTGACCTTGCTCAGCCCAGATTGCGGAATCCAGGAAGTAATGCAACTAGCGTCATACTTGCTTCGGCAAGGAAAGGGGGCACAGGCTGACATCATGTACACGTGGAGCCAAAATGGAGATGATTACGTCTCCAGTTTCATAGGAGTTCCTACCGTATGAACTTTGGCTCTGTCCATGTATTATCATTGTTAACATGGCGGATGTTGGGATAACTGAATCAGAACAGGTACAAGAAATTTAAAGCGACAACTGTTGTATGTGTTTGTTATAAATTTGCATTGTACATGCCGAAGGAGTAATGATATGTACTTGTTAACTTCGTCGACAGGAAGTCGAGAAGAAAATCGAAGAGATCAGACAGCGATTCAAGACCGAGTACATCCAAGGTGAGTTAAAAATTAAAACGTGTTCTTTCTGATTGACACGATATTGGTTGTAGTGACTTATAAATGCTACTCAATTGTTGTTGAAGTAAGTTGGGAGTGATGGCATACTTTTTATGTTTTTTCTTTAAGTCTTTATAGTTATTGGATTTATCCCACCCACACCGTAACCAGCTACATATTAATAAAATCCTAACGATTTGTATCACAGGTAATGTTTTTGGCCGTAATGTAGTGTGTTTTATGTGAAACTTGGATCAGTCAGTGTTGTGTAACCAGTTGTGTTATGGTCTTGAAAACTATCGGCTTTTCAGTGTCTTTGATTGGAAACCATGCGGTCAAACGAGTTAGTACAGTACATCTAGCGGTCCTGCACCTGTAGGGAAGTTTTTTTAACAGTAAAACAGCAAAGCATTACCGGGACAGATCTGGCTTATACTAAACATTTATTTATTTACCTCGATTATTTATATAATTTTAGATTATTATGCCACAATGTCTAATTTGCCATTTGGGAAATCAAGTCTGATGTCTGCTGTTTATACAATTTATAACTGACAGCACAGTAGAAGTATGTTTTTCTGCCATATCAGGTTAAAAGAAAACCAGTTAAAGACCATTACAAATAAATATCAGTTCTGTGGCTTAGCAGGGTTTCATTTAAATATATTACTATAATAAACTGTAGATTGATCTGTACCTACAATTTTGTTATGAGAGAAGAAGAAAGTGACCACAATTTTTCCAGTTATACACTTATTGGAAGAAGACTGGTAATACCTGATATCATTTAACAGAAAGTGTTTTGCCATAAAAAAAAACGTTTTGATTGTTCCTGTACTGGTGGATCTGCAGATCCAAGATGTTTGTTTTGTAAGAAACATCCACAGAGGGTATCACTTCCTATTTTGTGATTTGCTGTACATTATTTCTTAACTGTACATGGATTAACAAAGCTTCAGTCAGTTTTGGTTTCATATTTGCATTGTTAATGATCTGGTCCGAGTACAGAATAAACTATGAACTGTATGTTTTGCCACCCGCATTTTAGGTTTATGTTTTTATCCCGTGACTATACAGTACCAATTAAAACATTCACATTTCCTGGCCTTGTTGTAACTGTAACTCATCTCTCTAAGGTTACACTTATTTTTATCATACTTGATTATGAACTAAAGAATTCCCTGGAGAGTCAATGATTTTTTTTTTCCAAAGTCTCATTAGGCCAAGAGTCTGCAGTATTGTACTGTATGTTGTAACCTGGAATGTTTGTTAAGCTCCCTATGTTCCTACGTGTAGCGGTGCTAGTCAAATATCACATTGCTCTGATCAATGTAAGGCTTATTCTGGTTGTCAAACAGTATTTTGACAAAAATGAATAATACAGCCTGCTTTTTGTAGTTATGTTCCTGTTTTTGAGAAATATAATAAGGTTTTAAGAAAAGTTGAGAAGGGAAGAGATTAGCAATAGATTTAATCATGTTACAGTATTTTCAATAGTCTCTTATCCAATTCAGGATCACTGTGACCTGTAGCCTATCCTGGGAAGCACTGGCACAAGGCAGGATACGCCCTGGACTGGGCACACAGACACAAACATGCACATGTTCACACGTTAGATAAGGGCCGCTTATCCTACCGCATTGGACAGCAGGAGGAAACCAGAGCACTCGGAGTTAAACCATACGAACATGAGGAGAGCACACAAACTCCACATGGAGAGCACCCCAGGAATTGACCCCAGGGCCCCAGCACTGAGTGGCAGCTATGCCATCCACTGTGCCACCCCAACACTAGTTTTGTTGTCTGTCAGTTCTGCTTCATACAAACACACACGTTGTTTTCATTTGACTAAACCAGCAAGCCCTGTGCTAAGTTCCAGCTGTATAGTGGTCCCTGCTTAATGCAGAGGAATGGATTAGAGAGGGGTGTTTGAGCCAGATTGTGAGGATATTGAGAAAGATTAAAGTGATTGCAAGACAGGGCTGCCTTAGAAACACTGTCCATAGCTAAAGCGTTTTTGGAAATGGAAAACAATGACAATGTCCTGCATTTCACACAGACCCAACAGACAAGTACGACGAGCGGGATGTGGACAGGCTGAGGAAAGACGACCTGCTGGTCGAAAGCTACCTCACGTGGCGTCACTTCGTTGTAGACGATGCCCTGAAAATGATAGACGAGAGCTTCCAGTGGAGAAAGGAATACAAAGTTAATGGTAAGGGGAGCCTACCACAAACCTGCTCTTTTTGTGAATAAAGCAATGTGTGTATCCTGGGGAAATGGAATAAACAGGGAATTAGTATTGTTTTACTGAGGGAATTCCTTGTTAGCTTGTGTGACCTTGAAAAGGCTAGATTGCGACCAAAGACCACATAGATACAGTGTTTACAGACATGCGTGTAAGAAGAAGCAAAAAACAGGAAGATCCTGTTACTTGGTCTGTGGTTCCTGTAACAGCACATTCTCATTAAAGCTTAACTGTAAAAGTTTGAGGTGTAATTGTGAATAAATCTGAAATATTTCATTTTTAGTATGTGGTGTCCATTGGAGCAGCCCTAAATGAAAGAAAGTAGAATAATAATAATAATAATTGCTTACACTTATATAGCACTTTTCTGGACACTCCACTCAAAGCGCTTTACAGGTAAAGGGGACTCCCCTCCACCACCACCAATGTGCAGCATCCACCTGGATGATATATATACTATATACTATGATTAATATAGTATATTTGTGAGAAGCTTTATGCTAAATCAGGCAGTTTCTTTTACTATAAATGGAGGCAGTTCTGTCTTCACCCCTAGTACAGCACACAGTAGAAGTATTGCCATAGTAAACTTTATTTATTTTTATTTTATTTTTTCTGTTCTTTAATTTTGGATTTAACCGTGCCCACTGCTTTTGAGGGGCTTGTTAGTATTATATAGTCAACAGCCATATCACCCTGCAACACAAAACTGGCAGCCACTGAAGCTCAGCAGGTGT